TTAAAATATTGTACATATACATCTCTAAGAGACTTAAAGTGTAGGGATTAATTAAAACAAATAATACATCATATAATTCCAAACTGGCTGTGTTAGAGCTTAACAAATATCCATCTGCAGCTTTAAATTGTTTATTGCATATTTTAGGAAATAATGGAAATGCTACAGTCTAATAAAAAAAATCAAAAAAAAAAAATTATTCTTTAGACTAAAAAATTCTAAGTGAGACATGACTGCAATTTGTTGCAAATATATAAAAATTGAAATGTAATTTTTTTTCAATGAACACATGTATAATTTATACAATACTAATTTAGTTTTAATCATACACTAAAACATTAATTTGTTTTAATTACATTACACCAATTGAAAGATCTTTATCTGGACTATAGCCATCAAGAACTCTTAATTAACACAAGCAACTATGAGGCCATTTCTTTTTGCACAACTCCCAAGAGATAAATTAAGATTACACTGCATGATCAGATCTAGAGATGCTCTTGCCAGACAATGAACTCGTTAATTTCTCCCTAGTTTGACATGCACATTTCTGCTATCAAAATTCTCCTTGACCAGTGCTTGATAATTATGCTCATGGGACAAACTGAATTCCTCTCAAAACATTAACATTTGTTACAGAATTTGCTGTAAAGTATATGATGAAAAATTAAGTTTTTACTTAATTTAGCATTTTTTTAATAAGGATACAACTATATTTTTACATTTTTTAGGATTATGAAATATAAAATTTTAAAGACTTAGTTTTTTTAAAAAAAAATCACTTAAATTAAAGGTCACAGTGACCTTGAAATAGGTCGTGACACACCTTCTACCCTAGATGCATAAATTGTCCAAGTTTGATGATTGTAAGTCTATTAGTTTTCTAGTAATGAGCCAAACAAAATCACAAAATAAAAAAGAAAAAACACCTGTAAAATGCAGAAAAATCATCCAATCATGCTGAAAATACCAGGTGCACACCTCCGTATAGTGAATAATAAGTGTATAAATTTTCAGACAAATCCATCCAACAGTTTCTGAGAAACGGTCCGGTGTCGCATAATATTTGGTCCGCCTCGTTTAAAGGTCCGGCCGGACCTAATACGATATCATATTTGGTCCGCCTTTTATAAGAAAAGGTCCGGCCCGTATAAGAAAAGGTCCCCCTGCGTTTTAAGGTCCGGGTGGTGCAAAATATTTTAATCTTGAATTTAACATATGAAATTAAGGCTACCTGGTAGTTTGTTTATACTATATGAAGAAAGAAGTATTAACCCTGTTGTGTTTTATTTTTTGTACAACATACAAGTATCTCTAGACAAGAATCTACTCGTATAGTGTGCTTTAAGCAGTGCCGTTTAGGGCCATGATTTCTTTAAAAATCATGCCACAATTATTTTGCAAGTGTTTGTTTTTCCTTAGAATTTGCTTTTTGTAAATTAGTACGATTAAAGGTGTGAAATCTGTCGGTGTGTATAGCTAATAAAACAATGGGTGTGTGACGTATTTGTTTACCTGACAGGTACCCACCGTACCCACAGGTAGAGTCCGCGGCAGATGGCGCTGTGATTGAATGGTCGGTGAACCTAATGGTCATGTGTTAGCTTTACATATTAATAGAATGATGCAGATCTGATTTTTTAATTAATAAATTATGCCAAGGAACCAAATATTTAGGCATACACTTCAAAACTGCGACATTTTTGTTAATTTTAACCATACATGTATAATCTTTATTTGAATATTTAAAGCTAAATATGGCGTATTTGAGCTAAAAATTAAAAATAATAGATTAAGCGTAGATTTACATGAGATTTGGTTTTTATGTTCAAATTAAAAATTTCACCGATATTGAACTTAAATATCCCCACGTTTCTATTACTTAAATTCAAACTAATTGAATTAAAACTGTGTCTGATATTTACATTATGTAAATTCCGAGTCGATAAGAATCGGCCATTGTTTTAAATCTCGGATATCTATGAAACGCGATTGATTTAAATTGTTTGATTTTCATAAAATGTTTCAGTCTGCATTCCATTTCGGATTTGTTTTTTGGTGTTGAAATTTTAAACTTTTTATTTCCGACATTATAAGCTTTCATTTTCGACATTCTAAAGTGTTCATCTCCGACATTTTTCAGGAATTTAGTGCTTTCCGGTAATGAAAAATTTTAAAGAATAAATTAAAGACTGTTTAGTAAATCAATGTTCGGCGCAGTCTTTGACATTTAATTTAGTGAACATTAAATGCTATGAAAAAATTGCATGCTCATTAAACTCTGTTAACTAGACTTAGTGCTTCATGTACAGATGTATATACATGTATACAGAACTTTTATATTAAAAATGTTGTGTTTAATAATTTTCAAAATTCCATTTCTATATACATGTACCTGGTAAACATTAAATTGCCCGAGAGGTACCTTGCAAAAATTCCAGAAATTAAAAGAAATAAATGTCAGAAAAGAAAAGACAAATTGTCGGAAATGAAATAAAGAAATGGCAGAAATGCCATGTCGATTTCCGGAAATGAAATGCAGCGGTCCTATCTTTACAGTGGTATAAAAAGTACCAAAACAAATAGAAAGATCTTTTTTATTTTATATTTTTAGTCTGAACTTATAATAAAAAAAAACGCCTTATATGACTTTAAAGTTTTTAAACGCAGTATAATAAAAGGTCCGCCCTCTGTATTTCATATATCTTCATGTCATAAAGTGAAATTTTTGGACAGGGTTTATTTTCGTAGCTTGAAAACTAAAAAAAGAAAAATAGACAGGGCGGACCTTAAAACGCAGTTATCAGAAAAGGTCCGCCCTCTGTATTTCAGATATATTCATGTCATAAAGAGAAATTTTCGGACAGGGTTTATTTTCGTAGCTTGAAAACTAAAAAAAATAGACAGGGCGGACCTTAAAACGCAGTTAACAGAAAAGGTCCGCCCTCTGTATTTCATATATCTTTATGTCATAAAGGGACTTTTTTGGACAGGGTTTATTTTTGTAGCTTAAAATACTAGAGAAAGAGACAGGGCGGACCTTAAAACGTAGTTACCAGGAAAGGTCTGCCCTCTGTATTTCAGATATATTCATGTCATAAAGAGAAATTTTTGGACAGGGTTTATTTTCGTAGCTTGAAAACTAGAAAAATAGACAGGGCGGACCTTAAAACGCAGTTATCAGAAAAAGTCCGCCCTCTGTATTTCAGATATTTTTATATTATAAAGGGAAAATTTTGGACAGGGTTTATTTTCGTAGCTTGAAAACTAGAAAAATAGACAGGGCGGACCTTAAAACGCAGTTATCAGAAAAGGTCCGCCCTCTGTATTTCATATATCTTTATGTCATAAAGGGACTTTTTTGGACAGGGTTATTTTCGTAGCTTAAAAAACTAGAGAAAGAAACAGGGAGGACCTTAAAACGCAGTTATCAGAAAAGGTCCGCCCTCTGTATTTCAGATATTTGTATGTTATAAAGGGAAAATTTTGGACAGGGTTTATTTTCATGTCATAAAGAGAAAGTTTTGGACAGGGTTTATTTTCGTAGCTTGAAAACTAAAAAAATAGAAATGTGAAAAAAAGAAATAAATAATGTTGAAAATGAAAATAAAATTGTCGGATTCCGAAATAATAACAAAAATTGTCGGCAATGTTAAATTCAGGAAATGAAATGCAGAGATCTAGTAGATATAATAATTAGCCTTTGAATAGGTAAGAAACAGTGTTAACTTATAAAAGAAACACAGGGGATATGGTACTCTAGGTTTTCTCAAACGAAACAATTATAGGCTAACCCCAACTGCCCAATCCGTAGGCATGTTGTTTTTACAATAAGGGTTGTAGGGTAGTACACCGTGACATAAGCCCCTGTCACGGCTAGTGACCCTCCAGTTATTTACAACAATATTAAACGTAAAGAATGACAGATATCTTTTATCAATACTATAAAGAAATATATTTTAAAAGATGTGAACATAAGTTTTTGTGAGTAGATTAGTCAAACGTTTATCATGTTTATAGGAAAGAGAGTGTAACTAAATGATTCGTGTTGGATTTACGAACATTTATCTGTTCATTCAATACTGATTAATCTGCCAGTAAGCAAGGCGGTGAAGGTAAATGTTTGTACATGTATTCTTAATATTTTTTTAATGATAATGTTGACATTATTGTATTAATTTAAACGACAAAAGAAGCATGTCCCATCTTCCCGACAAGAAACCCGATCAATAAATCTAAACATTCCTTTATTTATGTATTAATTTCGATTTCTTACTTATTGTTTACTACATTTTCTTGGAGAAAACACTAGCTATTAATACGACTATATATCCTTAATTAATTTTAAAAAGAATAGTTTTTCAATTAATATCGAATGAACCACATGCATACAATTTGTATAAAAGGCCGAGGGCGGACCTTTTCTTATAGAGCCAGGCGGACCAAATATGTTATCGTATTTGGTCCGGCCGGACCTTTAAACGAGGCGGACCAAATATTATGCGACACCGGACAAAATCTTGTCTACAGACAGACGGACAGACAGACGGACATGGTGATTCCAATATACCCCCCTAAACTTCGTTTGCGGGGGTATAATTAACATGCATGAAAATCTCGTGCGGCTGTCCTTGTGTTTGACGTCAGTGGACGGGGATTATTGAAACTGAGAAGGGATGCCTCGTGTAATTGAAATCTATTAGTCTACATTTTTAAAATCTACATTTACAGTTTTATTTCACAAAGAAATGGAAATATAAGAGATCACTGTCTGGTTGGTAGAGTATGCCCTGGTATACTCTACTAACTAGATAGTGATTCTTTATTTTTGCACACAAGTAGGTATATTATGGACGTTATTGAGTTTTTTTAATGAGGCAGTTAGACATAACAAAAAGAAAATCATTTATTTCTCTATCATATAAAAGTATATGTAGGCAACGGTTTTATTTTTTTCATTTAGTTTTTGTGCATATACCTTTACGCATTAACAGCAAATTTTGCTTTCCATTTTACAGTGTATGTTTTCCGCATTTCGCAACTGTTGTTTCCTTTTCAAAATTGAGGTTAAAATATGAATTAGATCCAAGGTTTTACATACAGGGACTTGTGGCATACTAATGTTCACTCCCACTTTTCCCATTCTTTTAGATGCTGGAGTTATCTTTTATTCACATTTCTAAATGTACAATGGCCAGTTTAACGTGTTATTGAAGAAACAGCATCATTTAAACATTTTTTTCAAGTTAAGTATGAAATATAATTATGTCTTTTTCTAATGAACCTTTAATAAATTGTTCAAGAATTATATTAATATAACGTTTCCCATGCTCAATTTTCTTTTTGTATCTTGCGTTTTAATGTCCATAAAAGTTCATAGAATTCCCATTAATAATCATCTTTGTGAACAGATTCTTTCATTCATATTGCACTTGAATTTTAGAATCTTTCATTTCTAAATTAAACACTGCATCAAACTGTTCATTTAGAGCCACGGTAAAATGATTCTTCCAATCCCCAATCTCCCCTGAAACAGAAAACACATTTATTTGAGTTGTAGGGGATCATTGCTCAAATTGCAAATTAAATTTTAAGTCAAAGAAAAATCAACTCTCAAAACAATTCCGATTTTAACTCAAGAGTTCATTTATTTATTTTTTAATTGAGGCCAGCATTTTTTTATTTTTAGGTTTACGAACATCAGAATGAAAAAGTCCCGTAAGAGGAGGAAATGAAAAAAAAAATAAAATTACATTTTGGATACATTATCGACTTTTCTACATTAATTTTTGCTTCTTTTTTATGCTCTCCTAACAGGCTTCTTGCCACTGGACACATATATAAGGGTTACAAAGGGGAAAATACAACCTTTAATTGTTTATTTCATCATCAACCACTTGGGGGCAGTGATATAAATCTTTTGATGTTGGACAAAATACAGATTTGTTTTAAAAAATCAATTTTTTAAATCTCTTTTAACATATCTTCATTTTTCTTTTTAATGTGTGTTAGGTAGAAATTATTCTAAAATATTCATATACTTGAGACCTATAAAAGTAATAATTCCTTTCATAAAACAAACAAGGAGTATGAAATTCCCAAGGAGTATTGAGGAGTAGGGTGGAATTTTTTTCAATTAAGTGTAAAATGATTTTTCTAGCTGCCATAAACGATACTACATGCCTGTATATATTTGTATATTCTTGTTTTTGTTTTTAAATAGTTGAAATATTTTATTTCTTTAGGCTATTGTTTATTTCTTCCTCAAATGGACTTAACTTCTCCCATAGTTTTATTCATTACATCTGATGCATAAGCGACCCTTTTCTGAAGAATGATGCTAAGATTGTAAGCTATGACAGAAACCTAAACAATGTCTCTGACAATAGCTACCATGGGCAGTTTTAAACCTGTGGGAGGAAAATAATTTACAATTACACTATTTACAGAGTTACTTTTGAATACGGATACATAATTATCTCACCAACATGTCACTTTGCAACAAAGTCGTCAGCATTTTATTGTTCTCTGAACGGGTGAAACGTTTTGAATGGCACTCCTTCCGATAAATATTTACATTAAACCAAGCTTTAGTGCTGCTATGGACTTGACACATATCTCCCTTCATTACCGTCTTCCTTGGAAGACGGTATTGTATAGTTGAAGTTTTTTACAGTCTTCGGACTATGCACTTCCTCTCTTTTGTGATTGGTAGAAAATGCATGATGAGAAAATTTTCAATTATTTCATTGGTTGAAATGCTGTTCAAGGCAAGGGAGATAACTTTTTGATGATCTAATTTTCGTACGACTTAACAATTTTGCAAGATTTTCAATCTTAAAAAAAAAATGACAAAACGAACAACAAAATCAGCAGTAATTAATTCCTAATAACATGATTTTTTGTATAGCAAAAAATGAAAAGATCTCTTTAACTTCATTATAAATGAAATTTGATTTTTATTGCTTGCAGGCTTTACAATTTGTTATTATTCTTTTCCCTTTTCTTGTTTGAAGAAGGAAATGGAATCAGCCGAGGTTTGCCGAAAGCTCTCGGCTAGTCAAAGTTTACGGAGATGACCGAGCGACAACCGTGGTAGGGCTAATGCCAGTAAAAAGCTAATGTAGAAAATTCAAAAGAATTATACGGCCTGATAGGTGTAGATCAGTTTACAGTTTAAGATTGTTGCTAAAGACGGGAAGCTTTTTAAAAAAGCTCTACTTGTTAGACATTACCCGCCATGTTCATTTAAAACCGGAAGTACGAGTTCGTAAATTTGAAATCTCGATCCCGACTCAAATTTGACATCGGGAAGAAAAAATTCTGTTTTTCTCAATTTTATTTTTTTTCTGAAAATTCAAAAACTTGAGCGGTGGGTTTGTAAACCTAAAAATAAAAAAATGCTGGCCTGAATGAAGATTACTGCTTTCAAGATGACTTTAATTTTATAATTTTAGTAGAGATGTCATTGCAAATTATTTTTTCGAACTTCTCTCAAAGACACAATTTGTAGGAAGTGATCATAATGACCCAACCCAGGTTCAAAGTTTGAATCTACTAATAATGTATTTATAGTTTTAGTAGAAGTTTGTTGCTTATTGAAATATTCAAATAGCTTCATTTCAATACTTGAACAACTTAGCTTTAGTCTCAAGCCCAAGGCCATTGATCCAATGACTATACATTTTAGGCTTCTGTCAAAACTACATTCTACCTCTTCATTATTTTTCAAACATTTTGATTGATTGATGATTTTTTTTTTAATCATAAAGAGACGTCACCATACGGTATACCAATGAATGGCTTCATATTTCCAACTTTTGTCATTCCAAGTTTTATATGTTAAATGTACTTTATATGTCCTTTTGCTATGTGATTAAATCTTATGACTCACCCTTACGATACAACATTGACATCATCTCTTTAGCTTTTCCTCCATGTTTCATTTCCTCTGAAACTGCAGGTATTTTTATAAAGTCTTTCACTGTGTCAGTAGCTTCTTTCAGCTTTTTAAAGCTACATTTGTCTACTATTTCAGCTATAAGTTCGTCGTTCACATCAATGTTTAAAAATTTTGCTAGCTTTTTGGTTTCCTGTATTGGATTCTAAAAACAAATTAATATAAAAAGTCACATTAAAACAGTTAATCATACCCCCGCTTCTCATATGGTTATAATGGAAAGTCCGTGTTTTGATCTGAGAGACCCGAAATACGTGTCAGATCAAAATGTAAAAAGGAGGTGCAAAATGGCATATGTAATAAGGAATCTTTAAAAGTATCATTAAATTTCACTCAGTAGTAAAGGAGGACTTGTGGATAAAGAGATTATATGAAAAATGACCCTGTCCATGTTTTGCTATGGGAATCCAAAATATGTGTCGGATCAAAGAGTAAAATAGGAGGTCACAAAAGCACTACCTAACAAAGATTATAGCGGATAAGAGATGGGTACCCCAAAGCGCAGCAGACGGACGGACATCCCATGGCCATTTACTATAATTATATCCTCCCACTTTTCAAGCGGAGGTATAAAAAGTTACAGGTTATACGATTCGGATGATTTAGGAATGTAAGATGTATTACCAATTGATATTCTATCTTTCATATGTCACAAAAATAACAAATTAAACCAGTCTAATGGGGTAAGGGGGATAAAGAATTGCCCATTAAATTCCCTGCAAAACAACAGTTTTTTATCATTCAAAATTTAGTTCTTCGGATTTAATATTTAAATTTTTCTTTTTAATTTTTATTTTTTGTGATGAATTTCTTAAAACAAATTTTACTAGTTTAAGTAGAACAAAAATCATCTTAATTTACCTTTTTCAAACTTTCATAATGCAGTGTTAAAATAGCAGAACGTGTGTCTTTTGCTTCCGCTTCTTCAAATTCCTTCTCAAATGAAAACCAGCCTCCAAATACCTGAACTGAAAGAAAAATTTATTTTTCTTTTCTATTGTTGATAAATTGAAACCATATACACACATATGGTACACTTCAACAAATGAAATATGTGGAGAAAACGAAGGGTATTCGAGCTCAAAAGTCCATTTAACATTATAAAATACGAGCGGAGAAAACACGGAACTCCAAAACTTCAGAGGTGGGATCAGGTGCCATGGAAAAGTGAGCATCCCCTGCCGACCGGTCACACCCGAACATGACGGCATGTTTGTCAAACTGTTTAAGACTGGGTTTTTCTTCCAGCAAAAATATATTTAGGAGGAAGTCTCACTAAAATCTTATACCTTTGTACAAACTTAAGGAGAAATATCAACCAGTATGATGCTTACTAAGCTTTTTTAAACGAAAAAAAAAAATGATTATTTATTTTCTCCTATTTTAACATTACCTGGGCCCATGAAAACTTTCTCATAAAATGTCTTGAAGTCTAAAGGTTCAACAAATTCTTGAGTACTGTTGAAATGATGATACATCGACACTGCAACATCTTTAGGATTTCTCAGAACATGGACAATCTTTCCTCCATTTTCTATATGCTGCTTTGGTAACCATCTGTATGGTACATGCGTGTTCAGTGGTCTTGGAGAGACAAGATTATGAACTACACTCATGTCTGGTATGGCTTCCAAAAAGAAGAATTCCTTTGATTCTTTCATGTATTCGGCTTTCTTTTTTAGTAACATGCAGACAATTTCCCAGACCCAGTGTGTTCCTGAAACAGAAAAAAGAGATAAATTTGGTATTTTAATATTGAAAAATCTTTTGCCAAATTATACTGTATGCATGAAATATGATGATAACAAATAATTATCAAGAAGACGGAATTGTAAACAAGAGGTCCATGGGACACATCGCTCACCTGAGCACATGGACTAGTAAAAAAAAATCACAAATCAGCCTAGTATTGAAAAGCTTATACTTTTTAGGGAGGGAGATTTTAATTTTCTATTGCTTGAGAATATCAATAAATGTACATGTATAATTTTGCCACCCTTGAAAAGAAAAATTTTAAAGAATTTTCCAACATATTACTCGATCTCCCATCATGACCCCCCCCCCAACACACACATTAATTCAAGTAATTTAAATCTTAAATACTTGCAGAAGCTTACATGTCAATTTGACAAAACAAAACTTTTGTTCTCGAGAAGATTTTTTTTCTTTATCACGTATATTTTCTAATGCAAAATTTTGATCCATCGTTGTGGCAACACCCTAACCCCGGGGGTCAATATTTGAACAAACTTGAATCTACACTACCCTAGGATGCTTCCACATGAGTTTCATCTCTCGTTGCCCTATGGTTCTGGAGAAGAAGATTTTTAAAAGATTTTTCCTTTATATTCCTATGTAAAACTTTTCAGCCATTGTGTCCCCATCCTACCCCTGGGGGTCATGATTTGAACAAACTTGAATCTACACTACCTGAAGATACTTCCACATGAATTTCATTTTTCCAGGCCCAATGGTTCTGGAGAAGTAGATTTTTTTAACGATTTTCCCTATACATTCCTATGTAAAACTTTGACCAGCCATTGTGGCCTCGTCCTACCCCCGGGGAACCTGATATGCACAAACTTGAATCTACACAACCTGAGGATTCCTATTATTAAAAGATACCATTAATTTTTCATTAATTCATAATTATCTCCCCTTGGAAGAGGACTTGGCCCTTCATTTGTTCAAACTTGAATCCCCTTCACTCAAGGATGCTTTTATGGCAAGTTCGGATAAAATTGGAACAGTGGTTCTTGAGAAGAAGATGAAAATGTGAAAAGCTTACAATGACGACAACGACGACGAGAGACAACGGACAAATTTGGATCAGAAAAGCTCACCTGAGCCTTCGGCTCGGGTGAGCTATAAAGTTTACGACGATAACAATACCTTGAACGTCGACAGAAAATAGGGAAATTTTTCTCAGTGGCATTTCGGCCTTTGGCTGAAAAACAGCAACGACATGCTTATTCATACTTATATGGAACCATAGCAGGTAGTGTAGATTCAAGTTTGTTGAAATCATGACATCGGTGTTGATAATTGGCCATATTAGGTGATCAAAGTTTTATATAGGGATACAGGGGGGATTTCAAAATCCTCTTCTCAAGATAAAATTAAAATTTATTCAATTCTTTAGTGTAAGAATAAGAAACAACTGAAAAAACTCCAAATGATATGCTTAATTCTTAAAATAGCTTTAGAACATGTATGTAATGAGAATCTTAATTGTGTGAACGTAATATCAATCATTTTCACTTCGTGACTGCTCTTAGTTTTAATTAACTGGCCGTGTCTGCATGGCAATATCATTTGTTAAAACAAACTTAACAGACTTTTTAATATATCTTCAGTTTTGTTTGTACTTATACTACATCTTTAGTTAAAAAGAATTGTATAATAATCAGCAATTTTATTTTCATCTTTAGCTGCTCACAAGAACTTTGTAGCTCATGCCGTTTTATGCATGTCCTTGCAATTGTGGACAACACAATATAATGTAAAGACTAGAACTGTCCTAAGGGGACAAAATACCCCCTGCTGGGTTTTTCAGAACTAAGTTTTTCCATAATAAAGATATGTAACTAACATGAATTATGAAATTTTTCTTTCAGTGACCTTGAACTTCCCCAAATGACCTTGGGTCAAGGTCATGACACACCCTTAGGTCAAGGGCAATGTTTGTGTGAAATGAGAACCTACCAAGCTTATCCATAAGAAAGATATGGACCAGACACAAATTACGAAATTTTTCTTCCAGTGACCTTGAACTTCCCCAAATGACCTTGGGTCAAGGTCATGACACACCCTTGGGTCATGGGCAATCTTTGTGTGAAATGAGAACCTACCAAGTTTATCCATAAGAAAGATATGGACCGGACACAAATTATAAATTTTTTCTTTCCAGTGATCTTGAACTTCCCCAAATGACCTTGGGTCAAGGTCATGACACACCTTAGGTCATGGACAATCTTTGTGTGAAATGAGAACCTACAAAGTTTATCCATAAGAAAGATGTATTTGACATTTTTCTTCCAGTGACCTTGAACTTCCCCAAATGACCTTGGGTCAAGGTCATGACACACCCTTGGGTCATGGGCAATCTTTGTGTGAAATAAGAACCTACCAAGTTTATTCATAAGAAAGATATGGACCGGAGATGAATTATGAAATTTTTCTTCTAGTGACCTTGAACTTCCCCAAATGACCTTGGGTCAAGGTCATGACACACTTTTAGGTCATGGGCAATCTTTGTGTAGAGTAGTAGATTCTAATGTCCCTCCGTAAGAAAGATATGGACCGGACACGTTTGCACAGACAGACGGACAGCTGGACAGACAGCTGGACAGACGGACGGACAGACAGACAGACAGATGGACAAGGTGATTCCTATATACCCCCCCAAACTTTGTTTGCGGGGGGTATAAAAATAATATTATGATATTTGATTTCTCTATCATGTTTCTCCCACTATGAACCTGCACTTGAGCATCAATTGCATTCATAGGACTATAGACGCAACTTCTACTGCTATCAGTGCTTTTTACACTCGCATAGTACAAGCTATATTACACTTGTATTACGTGTTCAGAAGTATATATATATATAAAATTTTGTGCAAAAGAAATAAATATTTTTTGAATAATATTCTCAAAAAAAAAAAAAAAAAAAAAAAAAGAAATTCAAAATAACTAGACTTGTTGATTTATATCTTTAAAAAAAATTGTTTTGGTCAATATATCTAATTGTATCATAAATTCTTTTAAAAATGAAGAGAACTGTCATATTTTTATGTTTTACGAGGGGTTATCAAAAAGTTCGTGGACTGAGGCTATAAAATTAGTACTATGTAGTCTGCGCTTTCAAAATTGATATGGAATATAAAGCAACACAAACTAAAGAAATGTTGAAAAATTTAGCCTGATATGTTCATTATTTGCCAAATTATTATAAAATGAAAACAACATTATATGATCACCCGGCGCTGTCGTCGTTTATTTTCATGACGTCCGATAACGTCATTGTTTTTTCAATGTCCTCTTCTTATACCTCATACACTTTTTTGATGAGATTTCCTGGAGCTGAGCGAGGACTTTAACCCGCCTTGTTTATATGACTTTACAATGTCATGAATTGTGGCCTTCAATGAATATAACATTTCAGATGGATTAATACATTGGGAGAGATGCGCACTTGGTTGTGCCGGAATATTTTGCTTTTGGGATTTCAATATCTACAACACATGATCAACGTCATTTTTGACGGGATTGATTTTTCCCACTTTGACTGCAAATCGACATTAACTGTGTATTCCTTTTTTCTCTGAATCTATTCTGACATTAAAAAGACAGGTACTCTGGATGGATATTATTCTCTGTAGCTAGTTTCAACATATTTTAGGTTTATACTATTTTTTTAAGGGCAAAACATTATAGAATGCTTGAAACGGAAACTCCTCCCCCTTTGACGTCATTTTCAAGGCCTCATTTGTTTGGACATTCCGTGTAAAATTTACGATAAAATTTCATAGAACTTCCAGAATGAAGTGAAAATTTCATATTTTATAAAACAATTGTGTCCCGACACATACCTGAATTAACGGAATTATTGGATGTCAAATAATCATGTCAAATGAGTTTTTCTCAGTTACACATAGGTCGAAAAAACGTCGTTTTCGAGGTTGCGCCGCCTGGACATATACCATTGCCTACAAAATCCTTACTAATTAATCAAAATGTAAAAATCAAGATTTGTGATTTATTCTTTTGATAGAAAAGATTATGCTAACTATATATTTCAAAATTCATAGATGTACCTTAAGCTGTTTTAATTTTATGGCGCTAGTCCACGAACTTTTTGATAACCCCTCGTAGTTTCATATCTCCGCATATTTTTGGTAACTCTTCACACTTGCGTGTTTTACATTCAGAAAATGCGAAATTTCTTTAATAGTACATCCATATCAAGAACAATTTCAACTCTTAAAAATAAACTTAAGAACTTAAAAAATCACAGAAAAATATTCATGAGTTATAATCAATATTTAAGGTAGGATTCCTCTCTGGTTTCTGACTAGATGAAACATTCAAAGTATATTAGCTTATAACTCTTATATATTTACGTGTAAGGGATTTAAAAGACCATATTTTTCTTTCCTCATCACAAATGTACAACTTTAAATAGAAATGGTAAACTGCGCTTGAAAACTAGCAGGGACTATATTTTTGCCGGAATGGTGGCGTATGAAAATATCTTCTTTTCTGCCTCTCAAAATTATAATAGAACATTGAATTTAATTATAATTTTTACACAATAAAAGACTTGAAGAATTTTTCAAATGTAAGTTAAATTAATGATAAGGGACTAAACTTTCAAAATATATCAAATAAATATGATTTTCCAAACAAACTAGAACTATGTTAACTTTTAAATGATTCCAATCAAAGTACAGTTTTGAGCCAAAAATCCATAAAAAGTATTTTTTCTCTCTTAGTAAACGATCAAAACTTTTTGTTTTTGTATCATTTTGTACATTTATAAGACTACTTTATTATATGTGAAAATAACAAAAAGTTAAATATAGTAAGTATATGAAAATAACTAATTTATCCTACAAAATTAAGAAAAACAGAGAAAATTCGGATTAGCCAATATCCAGTTTAGTTAAATTATTTATGTAAGTTTGGTAATATGATGCTATAGACCCGATATAGTAATATCTTTTTATGCAAAAAGAACAATCTTTAAACTTTTGAAATAGAAGTAGGCATCACATGATTGGCAAAAGTATTTTTTATTGATAATGTCAAGGAAAAAGATAATGACCTTGACCTGACCTTACCTCTAATATAAAACGGTCAAATTTAATTTTACAGATACTATTACTTACTGATATTGTCTTCTTGATTCTGTGAAAATTTCATTAATTTTTAAATACAAGAAATATGAGAAGAATCCTGTTAATTACTCAGGTCTACTGATTTTATAGCCGTTTCTTTTTCTTTACTGGACACAACTAGCTGTATCCCTATGTAAAGCAGGAATTCCTCTGATATTCTTGACATCATTACAGAATCATTACAGAATGCAAATATAAGTAAAAAACATCCATTATTCAGTGAACATGGCATTATGAATAGCAATGCCAGCAGAGCAATTGCTATTCATAACGTCCACTGAATAACATAACATTATAGTTCACTTCTTAAATGACTAGTACAGCTACATGTTACCTGATTTCGGATAGATAACCAGTAAAACGTCATCTTTCTTACAAGGCAGGTCCCTTATTTCTTCAAACCTTTCCTTTGCATCTTTTACGAGGGGGGGTAAGCGTGGACATACCATTCCGTCAAAAATAATAGGTACTTTCGGTTTACCCTCACCATTTTGTTCCATGTCATCGCAATCGCATCATCTCGGGTCTTTCCCGTTTCCGTCAGAGGTCGGAAAAACAACCTGAGGTCGTTTTTCCGCTAGTCGGAAAGGCCCGAGAAGTTGCGATTGAGTCCACCGATGTTGAATCGTTCTACTTTCCGACCGCATTTCTTTACGCGTTCTCTTTAGGAAGCGTTTATACTAATTAGATAGAAAAAACATTGTCACTTTTTTTATTTCATCAGACAACCAATTCATCTTTAATTTAAACTAATTAATCATGTTAATGGATATATGACAATAATAATAGTTTTTATATCATTTAACATGTTTAATGAGGACCAATATTTTTTTTTATTTTTTGTAATTAATGCTAACTTAAATAAATTTATACTACTTTATGTTCTAGATAATAACTAAGAAGATAACGAACAGTGATTCATTCGATCTTCATATGTATTTAAAAAACTTATACAAATTGTGCTATTCGTTTAACAAGGCAAAAAACACAGACCCCCTATAAATTGTAGAGGTGTGATATCAGTATCCCTGGTCGTTCCAGTACACTAGCAGTGAGTCCTACAAGTACTGATCTGGTAAACGGAGTAGTCAATCGTCGAATTTATTATCAAAACAAATATCTTACATTGAAAAGAAATATGTCAGCTTAACGCAATTAAATGATAAATAGAATTATAAGCTTACAAGGACTGTAGACTTTCGAAATGCTGGCACATTAAACGAGGAAAAATCTGTAAAATCAACTTATTCTCTAGAAACCTGCTTCCGTTTTAAAAATGTTCGTACTCAGAGCAAATTAAGTTTCATATAATTTAGGAGAAATACACACTAAATACACGTGAAAAATGAAATATCACTACACAAGAAATCTCGTCCGATTTCGACAGCGATGGAGTCAATAAAAGTGTAATTGATGCAAATCACCCATATTCCCAAAACACCAGCAAGACAATTTACGGCAGCAAACTCAATCCTTTATTAAAATCAACAAAGGTTTTAAGCTTTTTTTAGTTAAAGAAAAAATAAACTTCTACCCCAGGAAGTAGTACACATACCCTAAAAAGTTACTGTCAAAAATTTTTATTTACAAAATACGTAAAATGCCAGAGGCACTGGTACCAAATTTTTTTTAAAAAAAAAATTGGACTGAAGAAAATAAAAAAAAAACAATCAAAAGAAAATATTCACTTTAAAAAGAAAATATATACATAGCCAATCGGGTAACGTCTACCCATTCAGTACTCGTCTCCATCTTGTTCAACCAGGAAATGATGTAAACTTCCGGAAATTTGGTACTCTTTTATCTATATTTCGACGCGGTACTTCCACAACTACCCGATGTCAATTAATTTGTACTGAGAAAAAATATTTTGAAATTGAATTACGTAAAAAAATTGAAAGGCAGCTTATTTTATTGAAGAATTAAACTATAATTAATTTCATGGGACCCCCCACCTGAAAAAGGCAATTTTAGTGAATATTTAAATAACTAGGATTTACCTATAATTTTAACCCAGTAAATTTTAAGATCCCTCCCTCAAAACTGCGGACATTAATTTTTCTAGGGGAAGAATCACAGATTAATGTTAATTCGGCTTTTATTGAGTTTGCTATACGGAGAGAATGCTAAGGTTTTCTTGGCATGTATATCACTACACAAATAAGGAAGTTGACGATGGAAGATCTAAAGACAGTTCCTTCGTAATACAATTGAAAATAAAGTTCAGATTTACTGCTAAAGCTCAATCCTTTATTAAAATCAACAAAAGCGTCAGAGCCGGGGAGGCAAAGTGGGGGGGGGGGGGGTTCAATTTGCTTCCGACGCCCATGAATCAATTACCCATTCAAAAAATAGGTCTCACAACAGGTGTGACTGGTCGACAGAGGATGTATTCTCCTCCTAGGGATTTTATCTCGGCTCTTGAATTCCCAGAGGTCTGTAATTTATACCATGTTCACGTATTTGTAATGCTTGGATATTATTTGATATCGATCATTGTTCGTTTTCTGCACCATTTTCAAAATAATTTCCACTTTTCGTCCCGCCCCCACCAAACATATACTTTAAATATAATATGCTGTAAATTCTTGCATTCATATATGCTCATATTAAGGTAGGACAGAACACCCGTGGATTCTATTTTAACCCATTTCTTAAAAAGTACCGGAGAAAAGAAGAATAATATTACTATATTGACAACAATGAATGATTCCTGTAAGAAAATAATAAGTTTTGGCATGTTTGCCTCATATTTTGTGAAAAAATCAGAGAATCCTATATATTGGTCACTTGGGGGCTTACATTTTGGAATGTTTTTATGCTAACTAAGTGTAATAAACAAGCATGTGACAGTATACAGTTAAAGTATATCGTTGAGGGAGTCAGCAAGATTCCAGTTCCCCAAGAGCAAGTCTATTTCCCGAGGCGCTTGTGCCGAGGGAAATAGGCTAGCTCGAGGGGAACTAGAATCTTGCTGACTCCCGAAATGATATACTTTAACTGTTTTATTATACCGATACAAACAAGACATTTAAAAAAAATTATATTCAATACTGTATTCAGTAACAATGTTTAATTCCAACAGGAATAGATAAAAAAAAATACGACAAAACAGAATAAAGCCATGAAAGGAATTCCATTTTATCAATAAATCAGTTCATTGTCCGAGTTTTTACTAAGTAAAATCGAAAGTTACATTACGCAATTTTGAGCACGCCATTTCTGTTGTTGTTCGCTTCCAGTAAACTGGTTCTTTTTGATTGATATGGGACCAGTTGACTCGCGATGTATTTCGATTCACTAATGAATATTCATGAGTTTATTCGGAACATTTTTAAGTTTGTCGTAAGTTGAAAGAAAATGTCAAGCGTTCCGAATAGGTGTGTATCAGTTCATCAAAAAAACGTACTTTTTTTTGCAGGGAATCAGTCTGTTTTGCAGGGGATCGGTTTGTTTACGGTGATTTTCAGGAAATCAGCAAAATATATCGATTTACTTTTATATAGTGAAAAATCAGTAGAGGTATAATAATCTGTTATAAAATGCAGTGTAACTTTTGTTCCATACATAGTAGAGGAATGATATTTGAACACATATATAAGGAGTCTCCATTCTTTATGTACTACTAAGGTCAAGGTCATATCAAGAGGTCATAGGTCAAATATTGTGACGTCATGTACTGAATCTTTTAGTTTTTTTGCCATTGAAATTTTTTTGATTGCGAATATATCTGAAACCACCGGTTCAATTTTCTTTATTTTTACACATTTTATTCTAGGACCCATTTGAATCATTCTGTTGATTTTTTGTAAAAATTGAATTATACATTTTCTCTTAAGAAAACTTAAACTGTCGGATATTTACATGTAAATTTTCAATTCTGACGCTACGTATGTTCTATTTTTACATAATATTTTACTCAAATTTTCCAGTATCAAGTTGACTTACTAATTTAATGCAACAAAAAGGTTATCTTTATTAAAAGTATTACACAAATTTGCAATAGATCAATTGATAATTCTAAAATAAGGCTCATTCTCAAGTCTAATGTCTGATTTCACAATCTTCTTACAGGGGCCTGATAGGCCATATTTCAGACTATGTGGGCAAAAAATGTGCGGTTGAACTTTTTTCATATCATACATAAAGAGAGATTTTGTATCCTAGAACAAAATATCAAAGTTTCAGGAAAATTGAATTTGAGGAAAAATTTGGCCCATCTATTGTGTCCTACCTTAAATGTTTTTACCATACAACAAACCAACATAGACGGAATACTGTAGTGTCAATATATTTTATTACGATAATTGGCAGAAATTGAATTTTACAAAAGTAAATTTGAATTATCAATGAAAACAGAACTTGATTTAATTGGAGCTAATTTCCGCGAAAGGTGCTTAATTGAATACACAACCAAATGTAATACGTTTACAGAATTCATTTTTTGTCAAAAGATTTAGTGAAAAATTCATAAATATTGCACAGGAAAATTATATAAATGACAAAATATATATATTAATGTACATATATGCCGCAATTATACTGCTTTTTAAACCCCTTCGCCTGCAATGGTAAAAAAATAGAACAAAATATTACTTTACTACTTCGGTTAATAGTTTATTTCAGATTCCCTATAAATCAAACAAACAATATGGATGTTATTTTGCTTGTTTAATATGGCGCTTCTGGCCGCGGTGATCAATTTGCTGGGGTTACCACAGGGCTGCCCCACAATCAACAATCAATACAACAAATGTGACGACCCAAATCGGGCGGATCATGCACTTGGTAGGTCACAAGTGCATGAACGTCACCAATACAATAATCAATCAAAGTCAATCAATCAATTATTAATCAATCAGTCAGTCAATCAATTCAAATATCAGTAAAGTCAATTACTTGTCAATCAATCAATTATTAATCAATCAATCAATTCAGATATCAATCAAGTCAATAAACAATGGAATGAGCGTAAGAATATGTGTAGCATTCGTCCAATTGCGTTGAGGTGCGACGGAATACGCAAACACTATGAATTCCAACCACGATAAGGCTGAAGTGGACGCTATCCCCAACAGGCAGTCATCACGGTATAGGTTAAATAGAGACTTCATCATCGCGACATTTGTTGATGTGGACGCTGTACCCAACAGGCAGTCTTTGCAGAATACGCAATCACACAGAATTCACTAATGCAACACAAGTAGATGAAGAAGCTGGACCAAGCAGGGCACCATTAAGGATTATTGGAGTACATGATTATCGCTGCGACAAAGGCTCTTGTGGAAGCAGGACCAAGCAGGCATACTTCAGTTACAATGACATGAAAAGAACAGCAGTATTTGTTCTAAAACAAGAGGAGAGTCGGTGAGAAAAATTGAAACATTGCAACAATTCAACTTCATAAAATTTTCCATGACCTTACCGTTTTATCGATTCATCGAGGAAGGTAGAGGAGGAATCAACTAAATTTTACACTATATATGCATTGGACCTAAAT